ACTCTTAAACAGAACCAACCTACATTTAAGATATATAAATCTAAGATATTTTCAAGTATACATACAGAGTGTCAATGTCTAATTGGATTATTCAGACTTATCTGTAGTAAGTAGAAGGTAACATTTGGAGAATAGGCAATGCATGTACATTCAGCTGAATAACTGAACTATTAAACAAGTGCATAATTAAAAGCTACAGAATGAATAAATTCTCTACAAGAACCTGTACTACATTAAAATAATGATTTTGTAAGGCGTAAAGCCAATAAAGTCAGATTCCATTTAAATACATGATTCCAACCACCTCCTGAAAGCAAGAAATTACATGAAGATAATCACAGATGAGCTTCCTCTGGAGAAATATGTTAAAGACAACCTGATAGAATGTGGCTTTTTGATGATTCCCTTGACCCAGAATCCAGATTTCTAAAATTGTTTTGTCCAATCCTCTGACAGCTCTAACAGAGACACAAAAAAGAGAAAATCACACCTGTAATAGCTCTCTGGATTATCTTTTTCTTTTTTTTGTGGGTTGCTTGAGCAGCCATATTTTTTGTGTATGTTGTCAATTTGGTAGCTTGACCATTTTCTTGACATCTTTACTTTGAAAATTCAGAATTGGAGCAGCTGGGCTTTCACAATTTGTGAATCCCATGAAAAAAATAGGTGGCACATTATCTTGTTAAATACACCCTATTACAGTGTCTGGAAGAGACAATACAGAAATTTGAGTTGTGCTTCAATTTGTTGGGAAAATATGTCATTTACTTTCTGTCCCTATGCTTGTTCACCTTATGGGGTAGGCCTGAAGGGGAATGTATCTCTATCTGGACCAGCTTAGAACTTTACCTTTATTAAGTCAATACAAGACCAAGGTATGGTCCAGAATGTCTCCACCACTCTTCTCTTGGTAGAATATGTCACATGATATTTTTAGTAATTGTTTTGGAAAAAGCAGCGGATATACATAGGCCTGCCTTTAAGAAGAACTTATAATAGATGTTATATAGATATTATTGCTGGGTTGAGCTTATTTTATGGTCAGAAACATATCTCTTTTTTTAATCATTTTATTATTTTTCAATTATCTTAACATATTAAATTAGTTTTAGGTGTATACCCAAGTGATTAGTTATTATATAACTAAGTGATCATCCAGATAAACCTTATACCAATATGACACCATACATAGTTATTAGAATATTATTGATTATATTCTCTATGCTGTACTTCACATGCCCAAGACTATTCTGTAACAACCAATTTGTACCTATTAATCCCTTTATCTTTTTCACCCATCCCCCAAGCCCACTCCCATCTGGTAACCATCAAAATGTTCTCTGTATCTATGAATCTATTTCTGTTCTGCTTGTTTATTTTGTTTTCTAGATTCAGTTGTCAACAAATATGCATTTTATTGCCATTTAATTGTTCTTATTTTTATCTTTTTTTTTTCCTTCTTCTTCAAGAAGACCTTTTAACATTTCATGTAATACTGGTTTTGTGGTCATGAACTCCTTTAGCTTTTTTCTTGTCTGGGAAGCTCTGGAGATAAGTCATGGCATCTGTGGAAAGCCAGAGCTGAACATGACAGACTCATTTACTAGTACACAGCCAGAGTGTATGTGCAGAACTGTCAGAATTTTATCTCTGCAATAGGGAAGAAACATTTTAAAAAATGACAAAAACATTCATCACTTATGGCTCATTGTTCAATATTTAATCCATTAATACTCTGCCTTTCTTTTATGTAATGATGTCAAAATCTCCCCACTATCCACCCAATAAGAAATTTGAGTTGAGAATATCTTATCTGGTCATTTTTGTAACCAGTGAAAAAAAATTTTCATGGAAGTTAAGTCAGGCCATTATTATTATTTTTTAAGTCATGCACCATTTTATGCTACTTCAGAATACAGAGTAGGTGTGTTTTTGCTTTATATAGTAGGTATTTGATAAGGAATCTATACTATGTCTACGTTGAGATCATGATGAATATATAAAATTAAATCTAGTATTTGGAGATCTCTGAGTTTCAAAAATGCATACCATAAAAGTTAGACAGGAGACAGTACTTGGAATTTTTTTGGATGATCAGGTTGTCTGATATTTTAAATTATTTGCCCCATGTGTTTCCCTTCTAAACAGCAGGTTCCCATAGGATCCTTGCATGTCATGCACCGGATGGTCAGAGGACATCTCTGAAGCTCATTAATCAAACTGCCCTTGATTTCTGCTGAAGTCATTTCAACAATGGTTTATATTTAGAATGCAATGAAGAGCATTAAAACAAAAACAATAAAATCAAAAGTTGAATGACTAGCTTTGTGATAACAGGAAATGAAGAATGTTTCATTTATGAATTAATATAAAATATAAATTTTCTAAATATGGTTATTATTTTACTAGAGACCCAGTGCATGAAAAGTCATGCACTGGAGAGGGGCATCCTTCAGCTCAGCCTGCCCCTTGTCACAGTCCAGGAGCCCTCAGGGACAGAGGCAGCCCGGCGATCAAGGGAAGGCAACACCCCCATCAAACCTCTGCTATTGCCACTGCCCACAGTGCAGGCCTCAGCCAGCCCTGGTTATGAGCCTCAGGTGGCCCTGGGCAGCTGGGAAGCCACCATCTGAGGCTTTCCTGCACCTCAGGCCAGCTGGGGGGCTGAGGGGCCTGGGGGACTCAAGAGGCAGGTGCACAGAGTGGCCAGACCCGCCTAGGGGAGGACCCAGCTGTGCAGCATGCCTGCTGCCCCGGTGGGGCTGATGGGACTGGGAGTCACCAACTTGTGGATGTGAGTGCTGCCATTTTTGAGGGTGTGGCAATCAATTAGCATATTCTCTCCTTATTGGCTGTGGGTGCCACCATCTTTGTGAGGGTGTGATGGTTAATTAGCGTATTTCCTCTTTATTAGATAGGATAAAAGGCAAGAAAAATGCAAGGATTTTAATCATGGTTTGAAGGATGCCATGATTCTGTATACTCCTAACAATAAAGATTAAAAAGCTGCACATATACTAAGTATAGAGAAACCAAATACCTGAATACTTACTTAGGTTAGTAAGAAAAAAATTGGATATTTTGAGATTGAGTTTTTGTCTTACTATAAAAGGATGCATTTATATTCTTGATCATATTAACTGTATTAGAATTCATGAGATACCAGGATTCTTTTAACCTGACTGACACTATATTGAATTCAATACATTTTTTTCCTTCTCCAACTCTAGAGATATAACAATAGATGTTGTAGTAAAATTCTTATATCTTTGAAACATTGTCACATTAAAAATGAATGAAATATAATAGTGTGTTTTTTTAGTGTCTTGCTGTAAGTTTTAATATTTCAGATAAAATAAAATATATCTGGTAAGGATTAATATCCAAAATATATAAAGAACTCATACAAATCAATAGCAAAAGAAACAAACAATCCAATAAAACTGGGTAGATTATCTGAAAATAGTTTTATAAATAAATCATGCCAACAGGTGGATAGAAACATTCTAAATATCACTAAACATCAGGTAAATATAAATCAAAATCACAAAAAGATATCACCTCACACTTACTATCATGACTAAAAAAAAATACAAGGAATAACTATTGGCCAAACAGCAGTGTGGTGGTTGCCAGAGGGAAGAGAAATAAAATTCTGCCCTGAAATACATGACTTAGGAATGTGGGAGAAGTGCTGGCAACTATTATTATTTTTGATCAATTATTATTTTTATATTTGGTCCTACACCTTTTCTTTAAATCTTCAAAGCCCTTGATGGCATGATCTTGTCACTTCTCCCCTAATCACTGCCCACTACTTTGAATATACAATTTGTTCATAGTCTCCCTGTCTTGATCCTGATAATATACAATTCCAGGAAAGTGTGTTATTGACTCATTGGCACCAAACTAGGTATGATATTTGAATTTTAATAGATAGTAAACCATGGAATAAATTTTCTGACATTTAAGAAATCAATAGTTTTTAGGAATGGGATCATTTAAAACCCCACTGCAAAAAAAAAACAACAAAAAAAACACACACAACTTACTATAAAACTTACTATGCTGAATACTATATTATACTTGTCATCTACTTCAGTGGTTGGCAAACTCATTAGTCAACAGAGCCAAATATCAACAATACAATGATTGAAATTTCTTTTGAGAGCCAATTTTTTTAAACTTAAACTTCTTCTAACGCCATTTCTTCAAAATAGACTCGCCTAGGTCGTGGTATTTTGTGGAAGAGCCACACTCAAGGGGCCAAAGAGCTGTCTGTGGCTTGCAAGCCGCAGTTTGCTGACCATGGTACTATAAATAGGTAAAGTTGAATAAGAGTAATCAGAAGAAATTCAGAAATATATTTTTTCAAAGTGTGTATTATGTATAAATACGTGTATTTTCATCTATATCTATAAATACATCTTTGTTAAGGAAATCTTAAGAAAAATAAAGTAATAAGTGGTAAATTGGAGATCACAATTGTCATATTTATGAATTAGCATTTGATGTGTTATTTTTTAATTTGATAAAGACTATATGTTCAAGAAGCTACTGAAAAAATAAGATGGATGAAAGAACAAAATTATTAGAAATTCAAAAACAGCCGAAACCGGTTTGGCTCAGTGGTAGAGCGTCGGTCTGCAGACTGAAATGTCCCAGGTTCGATTCCAGTCAAGGTCATGTACCTTAGTTGTGGGCACATCCCTGGTAGGGGGTGTGCAGGAGGCAGGTGGTCGATGTTTCTCTCTCATCGATGTTTCTAGCTCTCTATCTCTCTCCCTTTCTCTCTGTTAAAAATCAATAAAATATAAAAAAAAACTTAAAAAAAAAAGAAATTCAAAAACACTAATGGATTATGATTTATTTAAAAACAAATTCCAATTGAATAAATAATTAGAAAATACTTTGATTAATGATTTTGTTAATTCATCTTCATATAGTGTGCATATCTTTATAATTTAACCCTCAAGCTTTTGTTTCTTTCTTCTACTCAGTGTTAAAGAACCCGGTGTGTAAATTATATAGATTTCCCACATCTGACAATCAGTGGATGCGAATCCGGGAGCAGATGTCAGAGAGCATACTTTCTTTTCATATTCCTAAGGAATTGATCTCTCTTCACATAAAAGAAGATTTGTGTAGGTAAGAGAAAATAATTATGATTGTCTCTTGCATTAATTATCATTTTTTTCTATAAAATAGTTTTTCTTAAAGGATCATGATAACATGAAATTCTAGACCTGTTCAGTGTGGCGGGCATAAGCCTTGTGTGACTATTAATCCCTTAAATGTAACTAGTCCAAGTGAGATCTTATATAAATGTAAAATACACAGTAGATTTTGAGTTTCTAGTACCCAAAGAAAGACTGCTTTCATAATTGGGATTAAATAAAAATATTATTAATTTCACTTGCTGTATTTTATTTTTTGAATATGACTACTAGAAAAATTTTAATAACATATGTGACTCTCCTTTGTGGTGTGCATTATATTTCTATTAAATAGCTTGAAATCCAGCTAATAATGCAAGCTTTGACCTTGCAAATAATCCCCGTGTCTTTACCTCATCTGTTTTTGGTTACTCTTCTGTAAAAACTTCCTTCTTGATTTTCTTTGAACTACTCATCTATAACAAGACTCTCAGATATTTTTTGGTTAAAAACTCAAGATGATTGATAAAGTATGCTATGTGAGTGGACAGTCTTGTTGTACAACAAAATTAAATCCGTTGCTATAATGAAACAAAAGGATGTGAGAATGGGTAATTGATGAGAATTTCTCTGAGCCGTGACTAATCTGTTTTCTGCCTTATATGCCTCTAGTGACTTCAAAAATGTTGAATACTATATTATACTAACCACTGCTAAGGCACCAAATCTCAGAAAATTAGCAAATATTTTTAATAGTTAACATTTTTAATTGCTGAAATACACAGCAGATTGTGAAATGTTCAAAATTTGGATTTATGCATATTGCATACAATACATCAAGTTACTTAAGAGTATTGTTAGACTCTACAGTTTCCAGGGATGCCATATTGACTGGCATAAACCAGTGAGCACACTATGACAAGGCTGGTTAAACCTGGCAATATTGACAATATCATTATGAGCTTCATAACATTTCAGTCAATGATAGGCTGCATATACAACTATGGACCCATAAGATTATAATGGAGCTGAAAAATTCCTATTGCCTGCTTAGTGAAGTCACAGCAGTCAGAACATCGTACCAGCACAAGGCATTACTTGTGTGTTTGTGATGACACTGATATAAACAAGCACACTCCTTTGCCAGTCGTAGGAAAGTACAACATTGCAGTCCATAAGACTTGATAATGTAATAAATTATAAGGCTACTTATTTATGTATTTATTATACCACTAGAAGCCCAGTGAAAAAATTTTGTGCATGGAGGCTCCCCTCATCTCAGCCTGTACTCTCTCCAATCTGGGATCACTTAGGGGATGTCCCAAACCAGCAGTCAGACATCCCTCTCACAATCCAGAACCGATGGCTCCTAACTGCTCACCTGCCTACCGGTCTTATTGCCCCTAACTCTCTCCCTACCCCCCCTTGCTGTCCTGGTCACCTCTAACCACTTTTGCCTGCTGGCCTGATTGCCCATAACTTCCCCCATGCTGACCTGGTCACCCCCAACTTCCCCCCTTCCTGCAGGCCTGGTCACCCCCAACTGCCTCCCTGCCAGTGTGGTTACCCCCACTGTCTCCCCATTCAGCCTGGTCAACCCCAACTGCTCCCCTGCTAACCTGGTCATCCCATACAGTTTGCTGTTCAATCGATTGGTCATCTCTCACTAACACACCTGCTGGCCTTGTAGCTCGATGCAGCCTGGTGTTCCTGCTGTTTGGTCATTACTGTGATGGAGTCCTGGACAGTTTGCATATTCCTCTATTATTAATATAGATACTTTTATTGTTGTTTGAGAGTCTACTCTTTCTACTTATTTTTTTAAATTCTGTAAAACAATATGCCATGTTATGCTGAAAGCAATCTCATATATCGTTTTTCTGTGTTTTTTGGTTGCATCATATTCTCTTGTGCTTGATTTAATCTTTTTTTAATATATGTATTTTATTGAGTTTTTACAGAGAGGAAGGGAGAGGGATAGAAAGTTAAAAACATCAATGAGAGAGAAACATCGATCAGCTGCCTCCTGCACACCCCCCACTGAGGATATGCCCGTAACCAAGGTACATGCCCTTGACTGGAATCGAACCTGGTACCTGTCTGTCTTCAGGCCAATGCTCTATCCACTGAGCCAAATCGGTTAGGGCGCTTGATTTAATCTTGCGGTTGTTTTGAACAATAACATGCTATGCAGGTTTGTAGCCTAGGAGCAATGGGCTAGACCGCATAACTTAGGTGTGTAGCAACTATTCCATATAGGTTTGTATAAGTGCACTGTATAATGTTCACACAATGGCCAAATCACCTATTGACACAGTTCTCAGAATGAATCCTCGTCATTAAGTGATACATAATTGTATTTACAAGGGTAGATAGGAATGGCTGCACAAGTGAGTAGAAAAGAAAAAACAAACAGAATCTGAATCTTAGGGAAAGTCAGACAGGAACCTGGATTATAAGAAAACTTCTTGGGTCTAGGGAAATAAAGATTGAATGAGGGACAAGAAGGTGATTTTTGAGAGTAGCAAAGTGAAGGTAATCAACCACAGAAATCAGGCAACAGCTATTGACTGAGGCCAAGGGAAACTGTAAGATGTACAGAAGTTAAGCAAATTATTTATAGGAGCCAGTTGCAAGAATGAATTGAATTATAAGCCAAATTATTTAATCTTTACCCTCCTAGAGATAGTGCTAAGATTGCTTGGTAGTATGCAAAGCAAATTCCAGGAAGAATAATCAAGATTATGCATTAAAGAAGCAAGAGTTTGGATCTTCGAAGTCATAAAAGAATCAGACTGTTGAACACTAAGAGCCGCTCCAACTAGAGTCATGTAAAGGTCACATTTGATAGAGGATGGAGAGAATAATTGTTCCTCACAGGGCTTGTAGAATGAAGAAGGACTCACCATAGACAAGATGAGTTAGAGGTGTCAGGCAGAACTCAGCACCTTTATTTCTGATGAGAACCACACAGGAACTACTACTCATCTGTAACAAGACTCTCAGAGTTAAAGAAGGCAGGGCTAAGCCTTACCCTATAAAATGGACTTGAAACTGCATCTAACTTAGCCAGTCCTAAATTCCCACTAAGATATCTATAAAGACACAAATGAAAAATGATGAGTTTTCACAAAACACTGGAATCTATGATTAACACAATACTATATAGAACATAATTGATGGACCACTAATACCATTTCACCTAAAACTACAGCAAGCTAGTGAGAAAGAAGGCCAAACTCCAGAACCCTACTGCTGCCCCAATCTGTCTTTTGTCATTAGTTTGGAAACCTCATAAAGGCTGAGCAGCTGACCTTCTACTGGTTCTGAGGCCTCCCCACTGCTCTCGCTAACTCCTCCCTGCACCCCACCCCCATTCATATCTCTCTGTCTGTCCAGTCACAGATAATAAATTCCGGGGGGGGGGGGTATGATAAATAGAAAATAAGGAGAAAGCAACCACTAAGTCATGGAATTTGTGTATGCATAGCCTCTATAATTATTACTTTTAACACACCAAAGTGTCATCTATCCATTCTGTTCTCTTGCCTTTCTCTATATCTCTTTCTTGCTATGCATTTGTAGCAAAAACAAAAATTGCAAGCACATAGAAGTGATAGTGAGCAGTTTTGGTGGAAACAGAGAAACAATGCTTCCAAATTATAAAGTTCCTTCAAGGGGCAGAACTAGGGAGTGCCAGTGTACACTGGGAGTTGCTCAGAAAAGAAAATCCCATTTCAATCCTATGAAACTAAACAAACTATAAACACCTGATAGATTCTGAAGATTCGCTAGGCATGGTGATGACCAGCCTATTCCATATACATTTTGGTTTCTCCACAACTTTTTTGCTGTGTAAATCTCCCATTTGTTAGAATGAGCTTAAAATTTTTAATAATGAATCTTGTAATTTTTATAAAGAAAAGGAGAAAAAAATCATGCTGCACTCAAAAGGGAAATACAGGGGGGGAAAAAGGGAAAATTGACTAGTCATCTCAGTAGAGTATGGTATAAGAAGGTGTGGTTGTTATGAACAGGATGAGAAAGCCATATAAAAAGAACCATCACCCTTTAGGGAGCATGCTGAGAGGAAAAGGATAATGTAGGGAATGATGAAATTTTAAATTGCAGCAGCCAAATTAAATCCACAGAGCCCGCAGAGAAGATTTGACACTGAGAAATCATCTCAGTAATGTGGAAGGCAAACGTGGTATGCTTCTCTCAAATGCTAAACAAAGGTGAAAAAATGTTTAAATGGTGAGAAAAGTGTTAGATATTCAGGGCACAAAGCAGTAAACTACCAAATAATTTTAAGTGGTCTTTGGAAAGAACAATTAGTGCGAAAGCTTGAAAAACAAAGCAAAACAATGAAAACTTATGCAGTTTTGTTTTTTTCTCTTTTACAATCTAAAATCAGGATACTCTTACACTTCTCTGTGGAAGCCCATGGAATAACACCCACTGATATTTGGAAAAGTCTGTGACCCTGCTTTATTATATAGGGTCAGGTGATGAATTTTTTATGAATGAAGGCAACAGAAATGTCATACTTAAATACGCAGGAGCTCAGAGGATGTCACCCACAAAACTTGCTTGAAAATCTACTTGAAGCTATATGCCATCCAATTGAAAAAGTAATTTAAAAATTATATTTATAATGAATACAAGTGAATATAATAGACAAATAAATGTAAAATTAACATGATGTGACATAATATAATCAATTAAATTAAGAATGTGAGCCTGGGACATTGCCTTGCAAAAGGACTTGGCAATATTTTTCTTGGTTGGGTGGAACTTCCAGTCTGGACAGAGCTTTGCTCTGAAGTTCTTTTCTCAGCTTCTTTTAACCCTAGTCTGTTCAGATCCCTAAAATGATTTTGCTTGCCTCAACCCACTTCCCATCCCTACACTTTCTTGCAAACACATTTATTTTTTACATTTAAAAATTCATCTACTCTGATCCTAACCACCATGAGTTCTGGCCTGAGA